GAGCTGGCCCTGACTGAAGCAGTCTGGTTTCAGCAGCAGTTTGGATTTTGAGGGGGCAGCACAAACCAGCCCCTCCCCGTGGCCAGGCCACTCCAGCACATGTTCTTTTCCTGCCTGGAAATCCCAAACAGCATTTCTAGCGAGGCCTTTGATTTTATTTCTTCTCCCTTGCTGGCAGTGTCTGGGGATGGCAGAGCAGCGAGGAGCTCTGTGCCTCCTGCCTGTTACCTCGGGTTTAAAGTGTCTCTTCCTATCAAATGCAGAGCAGAAGAAAGCAGAGCTTTCATGCATTCTTTCCCCCCCCTTTCCCCTCTTCTCCCATCCGTTCTAAATTTATTTCCATGCCTTGCCGGTTTCAATCTGCATTTCCTGACCCTCGCACATCTCCAGTCACAGCCTGTGCTCCCAGCCTTCCCCAGAGCTTGGCTTGAGCCAGGGGGGAGCTCTGCTCAGCCTTGGGAGGATATGATGGGGTTAAAGTGAAAGGCTTGGTTTTAACAGTATAATGTGTAACCCCATAATGACTTTAAATATTGATTATTTGAAGGCCATTAGTGCTTATTGTTAAAGAAAAGTCGATACTTTTTAAGCCTTGTGAACCATTTGTCTCCTGTTAAAGGACATATCAAATTTAGCAGCGTGCAGTGCAAATCCCCTAATACCCTGCTCACAAGCCTCCAGCTGGCATTTTAGGGGGGGAAAGGAAAAGGAGGCAGGGGGAGGAACGTGCAGCAACACAGAATTGCTCTCTTGGAGGGAAGGACAAGGCTTATCAGATGTAATTGCCAGGGGCTAAATTCACCTCCTCAGAGCAGGGCGCTGTAATTCTGACTCTGAGCCGTGGAGGAAGAGGAGGAAGGAGTTTGATGGAGGATTTGAAGCTGACACGTACCTGGAGGAAGAGGAGGAAGGAATCTGATGGGGGATTTGAGGTTGACACGTACCTGGGAGAGGATGCAGGGATCGGGTTGGTGCACACCTGGCTGAAAGCACAGCAGCCTTTGTTAAGGTGTCGGGGTTTTTTACTCTGAGCTTGCCGGTTCTTTTTCCCAGCTGGCTGGCAAGTCTGGGAGGGCTGCCCAGCCTGTGCTAGGGCACGACCTGGTGCTGCTGCCTCCCTCCTGTGCCAGCTCCCCGTGCCAAGGATGGGGCTGGCAGGGAGCAGGGCAGGCTCCAACAGGTTCTGTGCCCGGCAGCGTGGCTCTGTGGGGTGGCACAGAGGCTCTGTCCCTCGTGGCCACGCAGCTGAGGGGCTCCCCAGGGCTCTGGCTGCCCCAGAGCAGGCCCAGGAAGGCAGGGAAGCTGTGAGGGAATGGAGTGCAGACTGTGGAGCAGATGTGAATTCCTCGGGGATCAAAGTCATGCCCGGTAGCACAACATGAAAGCATAAAAACAACCTGGCATGAGCACTGGGCTGCCAGCGAAGGGAAAACCTTTCATTTTCCAGCCCCCAGTGCTGATCCCACCCCACCCTCTGCTTCCTGGGCACAGACTGGCATAAATCAAGGCTCTCCTTTGTTTTTGAGCTCTCCACGGGCAGCCTGCATCTCCCGCAGGATCCCTCCCGCACATCCCCAGGGTGGGCAGGGAGGAGGGCACGGCCACGCGATGGTTAACAGCGACTTGATTTCCTAAATTGCTTCTTATAAAACGACCAGCACGTCTGCCAGGCTCGTCTGCCCATGATTACAGCTAATTACGATCGAGCGGACACCCCGAGCCCCCGTCACGCCGCTTTAATTGTGCGTTATTCATCGCGGCCGGCGCGGTGGCAGCAGCACTTGGCAGCCCCGCGACCGCGGCCCCGGCTAATTGCGGGGCCTCGGGGATTAGGGCAGGTGATTACACACTTCACGCTGTAATTACATAAGCATCGCTTGGCTGCTGCCCCGGCTCGGAGCCGAAGGTCGAGCGCGGCGTTACCTGAGATTAATTGGAGCTGCCAGCGGCGCACGGCGGCATTAACATTGCAGCAGCCCCGATCGATCCGCGCCGCGCCTCCAGACACCGCCGGCTCCGCAATTAGTTTAGAGCAGAGCCGGGCAGGGGAGGAGGGCGAGGGGAGCCGGGGCAGACGGGGAAGTGGCGGCGGGGATGGGCAGAGGGGCACGGCCGGGCAAAGGGAGGGACTGGGAGGGGAAGTGCAGCCGGGTCGGAGTTGTGTGGTGGCTGCACAGAACGGGGATAAAGCTGTGCTGGGAAGGGCTCTCACTTCGTGCCCAGGAGTCTTGGCTGACTTTCCATGAGCTGATCCATGGCCATGAACTGATCCCATGGCTGTGAGCTGGTCCATACCCACGGGCTGATCCATACCCACGGGCTGATCCATACCCATGAGTTGGTCCATGCCCATGAGCTGGTCCATGCCCATGAGCTGATCCATGGCCATGAACTGATCCCATGGCTGTGAGCTGGTCCATACCCACAGGCTGATCCATACCCATGAGCTGATCCATACCCATGAGCTGATCCATGCCCATAAACTGATCTTTGCCCACGGGCTGATCCATTTCCACGAGCTGATCCATGCCCATAAACTGATCCATACCCATGAGCTGATCCATACCCATGAGCTGATCCATACCCACGAGCTGATCCATTTCCATGAGCTGATCCACGGATGTCCAGGATGCTCCCGTCATTATCCCCCACTGCAATGCCTCTGCACATGCTGTGTTTGTTGCAAAGTCAAAGGCACCTTCTGCCTCCCTCTCCCTTGGCCTCCAGCCTCTCCCGGAGCAGATTTTTCCAGGGAGATACTGTAAAATTAAAATAAACGGCCCCGCACTTGGCTCTGCCTCTGGATGCCCTGCTGAAGGTAATAATGTTGTAAGTGGCCATCAAAAGGAATTAAGAGATGTGCAGCCGGAAAGCAGATTTGCTTGCAGGCTCCCAGGGCAGATTTGACTAATGGAAGAGACCTTGGCTTTTATTCTCTTCCTGCCTTTTTTTTTTCCTTTCTTCCCTGCTGCTGCAAGTGCTCCCTGCCTCTTCTCCAGGATTGTCCCTTCCCACCACCCAGTCCTGCCTCCCCGAGTTTCCCCAGCCCCTGGCATCTGCTCTACCCGTTCTGCCTGGCTTCACCCACCCTTCTCCAGCGGGATTCCTTCCCCCTGACCCCATCGCCCTTCCTGCTCACATCCCTCTCCTGCCTGGATTTTCCTCTGCCTCACTTCCAGCTTTCCTCTCCACGATTAAAGGCCCAGCTAGGACAGGGTTTTTTTGCAAGGCAAGTCAGTGATGACTTCAGATCTTCCCAAACCCACTCTCCAAGCACAGAATTCCTTCTCAGGTGTGAGGTAGTGAAGGCAGAAACACAAATGTGATGAGGGAGGGGCAGATGGAGAATCCTCAGCCTTCCCCTTTAAGCTGCCAGGAACAGGGAAAATCCTCTGGACAGCCTGGCTGAAAGGCCACAGGAGCAAAGGTGGGAAATGTGTGGGACCTGTGGAGTCCTGGCTGACTTCTTTCCATTTTGGTTCTGCTGCTTTTGCTTTTTTCTCTCATTTTAGAAGCTCTGCATGAGGGTGAAGAGGCAGAGAGCCTCTGGGGCAGGATGCAGCTCATCTGCATCCAAGATGTTCTTCCTGAGCCCTTCGGAGCCTCCGGGTTTTCAACAGGGCTTTATTTTGTGATTCCTGCAGGGAGATATCCCACCCACCGCCTCTGCTGTCGCCCCAGAACGCTCCCCACATCGCCCTGGGGCCCCACTTGAGACCTCCCTTCCTCGGGGTGCCTTCGGCGCTGTGCCAGACACCAGGTGAGCGCTCGGGTGCCGCTGTGGCAGCCAGGGCAGGGCAGAGGTGCAGCCTGTGACCATCTGCCCTGCAGCCAAGCAGCCCACCCACGTTTTCTGTGTCTCCCTGTGACCCCTGTGCCAGCTTCACCTGGTTCTGCAGCCAGAGGAGCGATTCCTTGGCTGCTCCTCCTGGCCCTGTGCTCCGGCCACGCTGCCGTGGCAGTGAGGGGTGGCTGAGCTCTGGAATAAAAAGCAGCACTCGGGTGTCCTTTTCCCCTCTGGGGAGGCGGCCCTGAGGCAGCCAGGGCTGGGGCTGGCAGGAGTGACCCGCGGTGTTCTCCTGCCCAGGTTACGGCTTCCTGCAGCCGGCACAGGCGGAGATGTTCGCACGGCAGCAGGAGATGCTACGGAAGCAAAACCTGGCCAGGTAGGAGTGGGAAGGGCTGGGTTTGCCCCGGTGTGGGGCCAGCTGGGCACAGATGGCACAGCAGGGTCTGATCAGGCCCGTGCAAGGCTGTGCAGGTGTGGAGCCCCCCACTAAAACTCCCTGTCCCCACGCAGGCTGGAGATGTCGGCCGAGCTGATCCGGCAGAAGGAGCTGGAGAACCTGCACCGGCAGCGGCTGCTGGCCGCAGACCCGCTGAGCCTGCACCCGGGGCTGCCGCCGGACCACCCCGCGCTGCGCAGCGTGCACGACGGCGCCGAGGGCCACGCGCTGCGGGACGAGCTGTCCCGGCGCAACGCCATGCTGGTGCTGCGGCACAGCAACGCCCCGCTGCTGTCCCTGACCCCCGGCGGCCCCGCCACGCCGCCCAAGGAGCAGCCGCGCCGCGCCGGCCGCAAGGCCCCGCAGCCCCGCGCCGAGCCCCCGGGCCCTGGTGAGACACGCGAGCCGCGCGTGCGGGACGGAGCCCAGGACTGTAACGACGAGGAGATGAAGGACTCGGAGAGCGACGCCGAGCCCGGCGAGGACAAGGCCGAGGGCGCGAAGGCCGAGGGCGGCTCGGCAGCGGAGCTGAAGGAGTGCAAGGACGGTGCGGCGGGCAAGGCGTGCGAGGCGGCCAAGGAGCTGGGCGAGGCGGCCGCGGCGCCCGGCGTGCCCTGCAGCTCCTCCAGCGCTGAGTCCCCCAGCCACCTGCTGGGGCCCGGCGTGGGCAAGGCCGAGGTGAAATACCTCCCGCCGGCCTCCCTGCCCGCGCCGCAGCCGCTGCCCTTCGGCTTCCCCTACACCGTCAGCCCCTACTTCCACGCAGGTGAGGGAGGCGCCGGGGGCTGCGCTGGCGTGGGGCTCTCCCCCTGCTCCTGGTTGTGCTTGCTTGGCAGGGTCTCTTGTTCTGAAAGGAGAAATTTCTGCATGGGAAAAGGCTGGTCAGGCATTGGAAGGGCTGCCCAGGGAGGTGGTGGTGTCACTGTCCTGGGAGGTGTCCAAGGAGGGATGGACATGGCACTCGGTGCTCTGGGCTGGGCGTTGGTCAGAGGTTGGATTTGATGGCTTGGAGGGCGTTTCCAGCCTGATTCCAGGTGCCCTGTGCCAGGGCAGGGCCAGCTGGGCATTGGTCAGAGGTTGGATTTGATGGCTTGGAGGGTGTTTCCAGCCTGATTCCCAGGTGCCCTGTGCCAGGCCAGGGCCAGCTGGGCGCTTGGTGCTGCATTTCTGTGCCACAGGCACGGGGAGATCTGGGCTGGGTGGGACGGGCAGGCGCTGCCAGCTCTCTGTTCTCACTGCAGGGCACAAATGGGGTGTCCAGCCCAGCCAAGAACCCAAATCTGCCCCAGCTAATGACCCGGCAGAGCAATTAGCAGGCGGCAGGACTCCTGGCACACAGGGGGAGCAGGGGGGCTGTGCTCTGCTGCTCTCCACGCCAGGAGCTGCCTGGGAGCAGGCTGCCCATCCCTCATTAGAGCTGCCTCCCAGCCAGGAAGGAGGAAGCGATTTTTCAGCGACAGGCAGGTGGCCAGGATGATAAATATTCCTGCTGCCTCGGGCTGCCCAGCCTTCCTCGCAGGAGCCTTTTCCTCCCGGCCATTAGAGAGGGACGGGCTCAGCTCTGGGGGGAGGCCTGGGCTGGGGCTGGTCCCCTCCTTCCCTCCCTCCCCCAGCAGTGTGTGAGTTGCTGTAATAGCCCATTTATTATTATCACCTCGGATTTCTGTCCCCAGCACACCTCAAGGCCCCGGTTCCATTCCCGGAGCTGCTTTCTGGGGCTGTGGCTCGATGACCTCATCTCCTCAAGGTTTCAGCCTCCTCCTCCTCCTCCTCCTCCTCCTCCTGCAGCCCCGTCCTTTGGAAGAGGTGAAGGATGGAGTGCAGGAGGCTGAAATCCCTCCATCGATCCCAGAGCCATTCCCACAGCCGTGTGCTGACCCCAGCCCTGCCAGGAGCGTGCCCAGGGCACGGGGAAGGGGCTGGACGTGGCAGTGGGGGCAGAGCCGAGCCCAGGGTGGGGGGCTGGCTGCCAGGGGTGGCACTGTATGCCCAGCTGGCCCCGAGCTGTCCCCTGTGGTGCCAGGAGCTCGGGCAGTGCCGTGCCCGCCCGCAGAGCCGCTCCTGCCCAGCCCTGGCAGCACCTGCAGCCCCTGCAGCCCCTGCAGCCCCTGCAGCCCCTGCAGCCCCTGCAGCAGCGGGGTCTCGGGGGTCTCGGGAGGAGCCGGGGGATTATGACTGGGCTGTGCCCGGTGCCTGGGCCGTGCTGGGACACCTGTCCTGGCACGATGGATTCCTTCCAGCCCCGCACGCCGGGCCCCAGCTGCCGGAGCGCTCCCCAATCCATTAGCAGCCCGCGGGAGCACCATCCATCAGCCAGGCAGGCCTGGGGGGGGCTGCTGCCCTCCGGGGCTCCTCGCAGAGCTGACACGTCCTTATTGGCATGGAAGGTGCAGCCCCACGGCCGCCTGGCACCCATTTGTTCTCATTGTCCCGGCTGCCAGACTGAGCGTGTCCTGCCAGAGGGGCACAGGAGGCAGGGCAGGAGCCCCTCAGCCCCGGGGAGCTCAGGGCGGGCAGTGCTGGGGCTGCTCCAGGCACACGGAGGGGAAGCAGCCCCAGAAACCCCCCCAGGGTCATGGCTGGGCTGGCAGGGGGCACAGCTGGACACCAGCCTGGCTGAAGGTACCCAGGGGGGACCTGGGAAAGGTCTGGTGAGGGTCTGAGGGGTCTGGGTGGGAACAGAGTGCTGGCAAGGAGGGCCCCAGAGGTGTGAGGAGGAGGAGCAGCCCTGTCCCTGCTGCAGAGCTGGCAGAGGCAGCAGCCAGCACAGAACCCAGGAGGGGTCGGGCTGGGGGGACCACTGGGGCTCCTCTGGTCCAGCCCCTCCTGCAGGATCTCCTGAGAGCCCCTCGGGGTTGTGGGGAGCCTTGGAGAGCTGCAGCCGAGCCAGGCTGGCTCTGGGGCTGCCCCTGCCCAAACTGAGGGGTGCAGGGACAGCCAGGGGAGCAGGAGTTTGGGAAGGGAAATGTCTGGAAATGATTGCAGAGCCTCTGCCTGCTCCCTGTGCAGGCTCTGCTGGATTAAAGCATCTCCTTGGCACCATCACTTCCCGTGCAGACCCCGAGCTTTTCCTGCTTCCCTGCACGTGCTGGAGGCTTTGCAGGGAGGGTGTGGGGTTCTGCTGTGTGGCTCTGCTCCTTTCCCTGCCTGTTCCCTCAGCCAGGGCTATTCCCCAGGGAACTGGCTGCTCCCTGGCCTCCCTGTTTTGTTTTATCCATTTTTCCCATGCCAGTCCATGGCTGTCCCAGCTGCTGTGGGCAGGAGCAGGGGTTATATCCATCAGATCCTCCAGGGAAAAGCCCCAAGCCCACAGGACAGATGATTTTGTCGTGACAGGCTCCTGGGAGAAATACTTTTCTCCTGGCAATTCCATTCTCCATGCTCTGAGCAGAGCAGCTCGTACCCCTCATAAACTCCTTCCCCGCCTGAGAATCCTGGGTGTTCTCATCCCTGTGAATGTCCTTGTGCTCTCCTGGTCTGAGCACCCACAGCAGCCAGTTCCAGGGCTTGAGTGGCTTTTCCCTACCCTGAAGAGGTGTTTCGTGGAATTTGGTTTGTTCTGTGTCCTCGCCCTGAGTTACCTGAGGTGCTTCTCTCCCCATTTCCATTCCCTGTGCCTCTCCCTGGGATTTCTCGGAGGGTTCTGTCAGGCTGCAGGGCCAGGGGGGCTCCCCCAGCCCTGGGAGCCTGTCACCCTCCCTGGGAGCCTGTCACCCTCCGTGTGGCAGCCACAGGGCTGGCACCGAGTCGCTCTCGCCTTTCGGGGAGCTGACGGTGGCAGGGCAGGACCAGCCCCATCCCTGCTCCTGCTGCCCACACCATTCCTGATCCAGGCCGGGGGCTGCTGGCCTTCGTGGCAGCCACTGTCACTGTCCACCCAGGTCCCTGTCTGCCTGGGCACTGCCCAGCTGGCACTGCCACAGCTGCTGTGAGCACGCAGCATTCCCAGCCCAATTCCCAGCAGCTCAGGGACATTCCCAGCCCAATTCCCAGCAGCTCAGGGACACTCCCAGCCCAATTCCCAGCAGCTCGGGGACATTCCCAGCCCCATTCCCAGCAGCTCAGGGTGGAACAGGAGCCCCTGGGGCAGGCAGAGCTCCCTGCTCTGCGCTGTCTGTGCAGAAACTCCTGCAGGCTCCCCCGGCCCTGCTTCCCCCGCAGCTGAGGAGCATTAGGCACATGAAATGCATTAGCTGGGATTTTTCCTGCCCTCCCCCAGCCGGGGACCTCCAGGAGGAAGAGGCCGATGAATTGACCCTGCCCAGCGCTCTAATTGACAGGTCATTAAAGATGGATGTGTGGCTAGAGAGAAATATTCAGATTGCAGGCTGGTTGTTGTCCGTGTGGGATTTTAATGATTTATGTTCCTTTCTCCTCCCCTCCTTCCCACCCCTCTGGCTCCAAACAATCCAGGCACCATGGGAGGTCTGTTTCTGGACGGGGAGGAGAGCCCCGCGCTGGAAGACATCAGCAAATGGACGGTGGAGGACGTCTGCAGCTTCGTGTCCAACTTGTCTGGCTGCACCGAGTACACTCAGGTAAATCCCGGCGGTTCCGGGAGGTCCTGGCAGGAGCATCCCCCTTCCTGGAGCGCCGTTCCCTCCCAGCTGGGCTGGTCCCTGCTGGAAGCTGCATCCCGGGGTTTTCCCTCAGGGATGGCTGAACTTGCTGCCAGCCGAGGTGTGGGATGGGTCCTGGAACGCTGCACATCCAGGGGAGTCCTGGCCGGAATGCTGGGGTTCCAGGACCAGGAGAATCCTGAATCATTCCCGGGAAATACTGATTCTAGAACCAGGAGAGTCCTGGGAAATTCCCTGGAATGCTGTGGCTCCAGAACCAGGAAAGCCCTGCAGGATTCCCTGGAATGCATCCAGAACCAGGAAAGCCCTGCAGGATTCCCTGGAATGCTGTGGTTCCAGAACCAGGAGAGCCCTGCAAGATTCCCTGGAATGCTGTGGCTCCAGAACCACGGCTCAGGCACACCAGGGACCCTCAGCACAGCCCAGAGTTGCCCCGGCCTGGCCAGGGCTCAGCTTTGTCTCTGCCCTGGAGCTGGGGGACACCCAGGGGATGCTTCCCAAGGCCAGGAATTTTGTGGAGTGTTTCAGGGAGGGTTTTGGCTCCTGCAGAGGCGGGGAGGGGAATGGGTGCAGCGAGTGGTGCAGCTCTCTGCAATAAAAATCCACCTGGCTGCAAAAGGCCGTGGATACAGCCCTGGAGACGCCCCTGGTGGGTAAATCCAGGCTGAGGTTTCTTTCAGCTCACCTTTTCCATGGTGCCAGGGCAGCTCAGGTGGCTGAGGGGTGTCCCTGAGCCTGCCCTGTGTGTGTCCCCTCAGGTATTCCGAGAGCAGGCCATCGACGGGGAGACCCTGCCCCTCCTGACAGAAGAGCACTTGCTGAACAACATGGGGCTCAAGCTGGGACCTGCCCTGAAGATCAGGTCACAGGTAGGAAAATCTCCTCTCTCAGGACAGGTGACACCATCCAAAGCTGTCCCTGGGGGCGTCCAGAAACGTGGTTTATGGAATATCATTTATTAAGCAATAATTCAGTTGCAGTTCTGTCTCAGGAATGCTTTATTTGTCCTTGAAAACGTTCCATAGCCTCACCTGAAAGCTGTCAGAGCTGTTTCAGGGAGAAATCCTCACTGGAAAGCTGTCACAGCTGTTTCAGGGAGAAAGCACTGACAGAATTCAGTGCCCAGGGGCAGAAATGAATAGTCCAGGCTGAGTGGTGGGAGGGAATAGCAGGGATGCAGTGGGGAGCTTTGCAATGGGCTGGTTCCAGCAGTCCCATCCTCGTCCCCTCAGTGGGACAAAAACCCAGAACATCTCTGCTGGATTCTTTCCCTCCTGACACGTGTGGAGGCCAGGCTGTGCTGAGTGCCCGGGAACTGTGTGCCCAGGGACAGCAGTGCCAGCTCTGGCACAGGTCCCCAAAGCCACGCTGCTCGTGCTGTGCTGGAACAACGAGAGGCTTTGCTGCTTTCTCTGCAGCCCTCCCTGTTTATGAGGGGGCTCATAAAAAGGGTCTGTGGGCAATTGTTCCCCGTGGGTCAATTCAGGAGGAAATAAAACTCTTTATGTTCCTTAAAAAACAAGAGAGCCCTGAACAGCTCAGAGATGGGGCTTGGGGTGGGGGGACTGCGAGATATGAACTTGAAAAATTCCTTCAATTCCATCAGTAGTGTTTAAAGCTGTGTAACAAGGCAGGGCTGGGGGTTGGATGGGGGGAGCAGAGCGCTGATGCTGCTCCCTGAATAAAGTCCCACTTGTCTGGGTCCAGCAGCAGCCCCTGGTTTTGTTTAAGCTCAAATGGGAAGCAGCTGTGGAGATGCTGGGAGGCTGTGGGGCCTTTGGCCCGTGCTGGGAGGCAGCAGCTGCTGCAGGAGGGAGAGGTTCAGAGTTCTATTTTCCCTCCCTGCCGTGGCCTGTGGAAGAGCAGTTCCTGCTGTTGCCAAGAGGGCAGGCAGTGCTGTGCCCTCAGCAGAGGGAGAGCAGAGTCCTGCTGAGGTGTCCATGGGTGACAGGGCAGGAATGACCCTCCTGGGCAGACCTGGGCTCCAGCAGGAACAGGAGCAGGAGTGCAGGACAAAATCCTCAAGGAAACGAGAGCAGGAAACCTTCCCTGCTCTGGTTGTCAGGTGCATGGGAACGGGTTTGCTCCATTGCAGCGATGTTCCACAGAGCAGTTTGGGGTGGGTGGGACCTCAGTGCCACCAGTGCCACCCCGTGCCATGGGCAAGGCCACCTTCCACCACCCCAGGGTGCTCCAAGCTGCGTCCAGGCTGGCTTTGACCACATCCAGGGGTGGGAGAGCCGCTTCTGCGGGCAGTCCCTGGCATGAGGCACAAACCCCGGGGACTCTCCTGTCCCATCCCCGCTCCCTCAGCCGGTTTCCCTCTCCCGCAGGTGGCCCGGCGGCTGGGCCGGGTGCTGTGCATGGCCGGGCTCCCGCTGGCGCTGCCGCTGCAGCCGCCGGGGCTGCGGCCGCCGGAGCGGGACACGGCCCCGGAGCTGCGCCCGGCCTCCACCGGCAGCGTGGCCTCGCCCTTCGGCAGCGCCGTCCCGGCCAGCCGCGGCTCCCCGAAGCAGCAGGAGAACGGCAGCGCGGCCCTGCTCGGCGACACCCCCAAAGCGCCCTGCTGACCCGGCCCGGCACGGAGGGACGCCTCGCTCTTTTATTTTATTGGTTTGGATGCATTTGCTTTTTTTTTGGTTTTTTTTTTTTTGTTTGTTTGTTTGGGAATATTAAAAAAGAACCACGGAGATTTTTGAACTGTCAAAATAAAAGAATGAAAGAGAAGGAAGGAAAATGATCCAAAGATGTTGTCGTGGGACGACGCCGAGTGAAGAGGATGCTGGAGGATGGAGGCAGCATTCCCATTCCCATTCCCGTTCCCTTCCACCCTGCACAGGGAATCATGGAATCATGGACAGGCTGCTCTTCGCCTCCAGGAGCTGCGGGCTGGGACTCCGCAGGGAAAGGAAGGGAAGGGGCTCTGCTCCTCCCAGCGCTACTTCGAGCAAAAAAACCCAACCCATCCACACCCACCGCAGCCAAGCTCTGCTCCTCCTGCCAGCTGGGCTCCGTTCCTCATTCAGGTGTTCTATGCATCTCTAGCAACTTTGAAAACAATACCAAAGACAGACAAAAAGGAGAAAAAGACAAAAAAAAAAGACAAAAAAAAAAAAAAAGAAAAACAAGAAGCAAGTTCCCGTCCATGTTTACTGGTGCGGATGGTACAGAGCCACCCTGCCCTGGCACGGGGCTGGCGCAGCAGAGGGCACAGAGGGGACCCTGCCCTGCCCCAGCCCTGCAGAGGTGGATTTCCCCCTGATGTTCGTTTGCTGCGGGGCAGGAGGGGCCCGGGGGGACTTTGAGCCGTGTTCCAGAGGTGATGTTCTGCTGGAACCACGGGCAGAGTTTTTACTACTGTGAATGAGCTGGGAACTCCTGGGGTGACCTCCTGTGACTTGTACAGTTGTGAGCAACAATCACATGTGGTACTTTTGTCTCTCTCTCTCCCCCCCCATCCCCTTTTTATTTTTGGGTTTGTTTTTTGTTTAAACGTTGCACGTGCTGCCGTTTTTCTTACAGAATAGCTTTGGTGGTACTTTAGCTTCTTTATATTGTAAAAAAAAAAGGGAAAAAAAATTCATTATCCATCACATCACGATACAAATGCTTTCCAGCAATCAATTTAAATAAAAAAGAAAACCACTTAATTTACAAATGGTACCTGGCTTTACCCAAGCAGTCTCTGGCCTTCCTTTCCTGCCTGGAATGCAATCCAGGGCTGGTTCCCAGCTGGCAGAAGGCAGCCAGCACCTTGCCCAACTAAGCTAGAGCCAGGAGAAAATTTCTTCTCTCTTTGGGAAGAACAGGTAAGTTAAAGTCTTTTCCAAAGTGAAAACTTTTTCTTTACAGTTAAGGCGCTGCACCTGGGCAGTGTTTCCTGCATTACCAATTTTGCCTTTCTTTATTCATTCATGCCTGTCCCCAACCCAAGAAACTTTAATTTAAAGTTTCCTTCTGCAGCACACTTGGAGCAGCCTGAACTGATCAAGGCTTCCAGGGAAGCTACAAAGCTCTGGCAGAGCCTCTGCAGTCCTTCAGGACACCAGGGAGGGTCTGGTGAGGGCCCCAGAGCCAAATCTGGACAAAGCCCTCGGCCTGCCCTCGCTCTGCTCACTCAGCAGGAGCTGGGGGTGAGCCCTGGGCTCTTGAAAGCAGCAGATTTTAATGAGGGGCTTTTATTCCCTCTGCTGAGCAGTTTTTACTGGCCTTGACTTGGCCTGGGGTTTTATTGGTACCAAAACCAGAAGTGGCAGAAAAAGCTGGAGAAGTCCAAGCTGGGTTGAGAAGTCCAAGCTGTGTCACTGAGCAGGTCCTGGGTGGCACCTGGGGCTGGTCTCACCTGTGTGTCCTGGCTCTGAGCAGCTCCAGGTGCTGCAGAGGGGCTGCAGGTGCTCAGTCCTCGTCAGAAACCTCCAGGTCCTGCACCAGGTCCTCCCCACCCTGAGCCAGCTGCTCCAGGTCAGAGCGGGACAGCCCCCGGGGGCAGCTCCTGCTCTCCCGGGAGTCCCGGGCTGCCTCCTCTGCTGGGGGAGAGGAGGGAGAGCTGTCAGCGACCCTGCCTGCCAGGGGGGCAGCTGCATGCCAATTAATCCAGACACGCATTAATTCATCCCAGAGAGCCCTGCAGGGCCGGGCACAGCAGCCCTGGGGGGCACAGGAGCCCAAAGTGCCCCGGTGAGGGTGGGACAGGAACCAAAACTGCCCCAGTGAGGCTGGGACAGAGCCCAGAGTGCCCCGGTGAGGCTGGGACAGGAACCAAAACTGCCCCAGGGAGGCTGGGACAGGAACCAAAACTGCCCCAGGGAGGCTGGGACAGAGCCCAAA